TAATTTCGACTTTCAAAGTCATAATTATGAGATTCAAAGTCATAATTATGACTTTCAAAGTCATAATTTCGATTTTTCCAAAAAAGCAGACATCCTGTCTTGTGTGAGATTTACACATTATTCCATTTGATCTGTCTAACCAGGAAAACACAGCTTTTTCTCATAATAATGGATTATAAACAAATTGAGGAGTATTTCAGATGTGGTTTAACCAATGATGAAATTCTTGCTTTGCTGGCTGAGGTTTATGGGATTATTCTTAGCAAGAGGACACTGGAAAGGATTCTTAATAAGAAGAAACTTTGGCGCCGAAAGAACAAAACTGATGTGAGTGTAGTGGCAGCTTTCATTCGTCAGCAACTTGAAACCTCTGGACAATGTCATGGATATCGATGGATGCACCAAAAATGCTGGATGAATGGTATTGTTACAGACAGGGAAACAGTTCGAGTCCTTTTACGCTTACTAGATGGTGAAGGAGTAGACCTAAGGTCAAGAAATCGACTGAGGAGACGGATTTACTATAGTCGTGGTCCAAACTATGTTTGGCATATGGACGGCTACGATAAGCTCAAACCATTTGGAATTGGGATCAATGGTTGCATTGATGGTTTTTCCAGAAGGCTAATATGGCTTCAGGCATACAAAACAAATAACGATCCAAGAGTCATTGCAGGATACTTCATGGATGCAGTGATTAAAGCTGAGGGTTGTCCTGAAAGACTAAGAGTGGATTTAGGGACAGAAAATGTTAATGCAGCTGACATGCAAAGATATTTGCATTTTACAGAAGATCAACCTCAAAGTGATAATGTAATATTTGGTCCAAGCACTGGAAATCAGCGGATTGAAAGATGGTGGTTGACCCTGCGAAGTGAATGTATCCAGTTCTGGATGGACCTCTTTGACAAACTGAAAGCAGATGGACACTTCTCGGATAGCTTCTTGGACAAAGCCTTGATCCAGTTCTGTTTTCTCCACATAATACAGGTGAGCTTGATTTGAGCTGCTCTGTCTTCTCACCTATTGAAAATATTTATGATTGCTATAAAGTGGTTATAATGTGCAAAGATTTGTTTTCTGAGTATGATGCTAAATTAATAGCATATCATAAATACTGCACAGATTGCATGTCTGGGTAGTTGCGTGATTTAAACGTCCCTGTTTTTGGATAAATAACAGTCATGCTAGATTTACACTTCCGTTTTACTTTTGAATTTTTATTTCAAAGCTATGAGTTTAGTCTGGGTTTTTTTTTCTTGTAGAAAGAACTAAATGAAGTTGTTTCGGCTTGGAACCACCACAGGATACGTCCAACACACAATTCACGAAGTCCTCATGGGCGACCATTCATGATGTACACAGTACCTCAGGCGTATGGAGCCAGAGACTATCTACACAGCATTGATCTGAACAGGGTTGAAGCCTGCTTGGAAAACTGTGTTTTCAAAGACTTTCCATGCGATGAAGATGTCTTCAGTATCTGTGTGGACCTGATTTCAGAGCATAACCTGAATGTCACAGATGATGTGTTTGCAACAACTGATCTATACATAAGACTCAGACAGCTGATTACCAGACATTTGGAGCTGCATTGATGAATGTAAAAACATTTTGTTGCATTGACAGTTTGCTACCTCGTCCCCAATTTGGACTTCAGTAGATATTTGATGACATTCTGAGAGTGGCAGCATTTGCTTCAACACATTGTTGCACCAGTATAAAGATGGGTCAAAGCCATTCACAAGCTCTGTAACTAAGCAAGAAGAGAAACAAAAATAAGATAAATCATGCTGAGCTGATAAAATAAGTCTGACATTAGAAAAATATATTGATGCATTGGACAGATGATTTTTGGTTTTGATATTTTCCCTTTATTATCAATATCATTGCATTACAGTTTGAACATTATGCTGATTATTAAACAGGGAATAAAGGAATTGAGAACTGCTGTAGAAACCTCATTATTTTTCAGGTGTGCAATCCAATGCTGATTTAAAGCTTCCCCCGGCCCAAATAAATCACACATATAAACTGGAAAAAGCGGTTTATTGAACTTCAAAATTAAAGTCTCTATTTAGCTATTAGAGAAGCCTTTCAGTGTAAAAAAAAAAGAAAAGAAAAAAAGTGTTCTTTTTCAGTTGTTTTCTGGTAAATCTGATATTGAGCTACTGCAATGGCACCAATCTGTTATTGAAATTATTTTAAGGTTATGTTTACTTAAAACAAAAATATAAATAAAATGCTGAGTAAACAAAAGAACATTTTTGAGGAATAAGGGTCAATGAGACACTTTACTCCAGAACTGCATTCAAACAGAGTAGCAACATGTTCATCCACTGAACATTTAAATTATATGACTAATATAAGAAACAAAACATCAGAAATTATGAATAAATTATTTATGCAATTAAGAGCTGCTTGTTTACAAGCGCGGCGGCCATATTGTATTTTTAATTGTGGAACAAACCAGCTTTTGCAGCCTCAAGTAAAATTAAAAGTAAAAAAAATTCTAGTACCAATATAAAATATTTAAATGTAATAAACACAAAATATTGAGAAAATACATTTTACTGCCAACTCAAATTTATGCTTTAAACTTTAACTGTGGAGTACTTTAATAGAAAAAACCCCCAAAAACACTAGTAGTAGAGTGCCTACTATGACATTGCAGGTCTTATAAATACTCCAGAGAAAAATAAATTGCAAAAAGTAGAAACTCTGTGGAGTTAAGATGAGCTAAAAAAACTTGTTAAGATAATGCTAAACTTTGAAAGTTTAATACAAAAAGATTTGGTAACATTTTATTTGAAGGGGTGTGCATAAGACTGACATGACACTGTCATAAACATGACATAATATCTGTCATGAACATGAAGTCGAATGTTTATGACTGTTGTCATGAAGTGTCATGAATAATGACACTTTTAATGCAAAGTTGCTCTAAAAGTTGCATTGAAAGTCCATCAAAGGTGCCAACTTTGCATTACATTATCATAATTCACAAAATCATGCAAAGTTGGCACTTTTAATGGACTTTTAATGCAACTTTTAGAGCAACTTTGCATTAAAAGTGTCATTATTTACCGAATGACACTTCATGACAACTGTCATAAACATTCATAAAGACTCCTTCATGTTCATGACAGATATTGTCATGTTTATGACAGTGTCATCATGTCAGTCTTATGCACACTCCTTCAAATAAGGTGTTACCAAAGATTCCTTAAACTCACATGTTCTTCAGCTGAAGTCTGTTAGACTATATCCATCACCCATACACTACTTTCTAGGACCTTGTTCATTTCGTGTCGAAACTCTGGATAGTTATCATAATTAACTGGCAACTCTAGGTAGCAACCGCATGTGTGGGCAACTGGCCGTCTCTGAATACCTTGAAGTTGAGTGAAGCTAACGCTGATAGTTTTTTGAAGAAACAAATCAGATCCTGTGCAGAACCGCAGAAAAAGTGACAGGTGTTGTGAGTCTGATTCTCTGAGATAAGAACTTAAATATTTGCTGATGTTTTTCTGCTGTGCATTCATGACTGCAGGATATACAATCGAATGTATAACCTTTCGTAATGTTGGCTGGAGATTTTCATATGCAGCAGTAATACTTTCCATCTCTGACCTCAGCAGGGAAAGGACAGTGCTCCACTGCTCAATAACAAAGGCAGGTTCCTGAATGAGCTTTTGGTGGGCAAGCTCCTCAAGTAGTAGCGCTATGTTATCAGCTGTTGGTACTCTTCGACAGTTATGGATATCCATGATTTCCAGAAGCTCTTCTTTGTCAACACTCTGAAAATCTGAAAGGGAAGATTCAAACACCATCCGATCGTACTCTGTAACATACCTTAAGAAGCTATCAACAAGAGGACTCTTTATAGAACCAAGAACTGCTTGTTCTAGTATTACTGGAGCAAGTTTTATAGGCAGGTACTTCTGCTTTTGCCAGCCAAAGGCAATAATTCGGGCAATGCTTTCCCATTGTTGCTGTCCAAAATCATGACGTAAGTAGGGCACCTTAAAGTTATTGCCCATTGTGCACTGTTCATAAAAGTCCTGCCAAAATTCTGAGAGGACATCCCTCAAAACTCCTCCATCATCAACAGCCTTTTCTCGCCTTCCATCAGGGAGCACCACTTGAAAACATATGTCCTCCTGAGTGACACCTGGATCACAAAAATGTGAAATTAGTTCTTTCAGGATCTGGCCACGGTGAAGAACAAGGATTTTCTTAATCCCTTCTCTCTGAACAATTGGCTCGTTCAAAGAATCAAATTGTGAAGAAGAAAGCACTGGACTAGATGGCTGTGGAGACAGAGGAAGGGTGTCATCAAGACTGAGACTATCTGTGTCAGAAATGTGTCTTGTGAAAAAGGTAACAGTGCCACTGTTTTCTAAAATGTCCCCATTGATTGCTGCATCTAGCTCTTGGACACTGGACAAATCACCCATGTCATCAGTAGAGTAAACTAGGTGAACATTATCACTGCTGCTGTTTGTCAGGACACTGCTGGTTCCAACATATATGGCATCAATGCTGTCTGGTGCTTTGGATTGAGTCAGTCGTGTGCAAACTTGAGAGTGAGTAGAAAAACTTAAAGTGTCTTGGTCATATCCACTGGGGTTGTCTGGTTCTGAGTCGCTGCCAGTGTCCTTCTTTTTGGTTGTTAGGTAAAAACGCAAAACAGGTAGTTTTGTCTGCTCATAAAGTTCTCCAACTGTAATATGTTCATCAAGTGAATGTTCCTGGAAATCTGTCATGTCGACCTCAAAATCTGTAATTCTTCCATGTGAATTTCTTTGAGACGGAAAAAACAAACCCACTGCCTTTTCAATTAAGTCATTTTTTCTACAGTCCTTTGACACATCAATTTTTCTTGTTCCACCACCTTTCTTTGTCCGAACTTGAAAAAACTTCCCATCTCGAAAATCCATCCATCCTATCTCAACTTTTCGAACAGTTTTTTGAGCATTTCTGATGCTAAAATTTTTTGAGATCTGCTTTTGATCGTTGCCTTTGTTCCTTGAAATCTTGGCTCTCAATCGGTCAAAAAGTTTTGATTTCCGGCCAGCAGGATCATTTTCCCTTCGTCTGCAATATCCGAGAAGTGCCAGTCGGTCACCATAAGATGGGAGATATTCCTTAAGCTGCTCATCTGTCATGAGCAGAAGGACACTGGAGTCAATCTAGAAAACAAAAGTTAAAACAGTTATTTAACCTATAAAAATGGGGGTAAAAACCCAGTAAAAACAGCCACATGATAAAACTGATCTGTCTTCACCATGTCTCTATAATAGTGTTGTATGATAACTTCTAAATGTACTGATTTCCTTAGCAATCTAGCTACCTTATCCTTTTGCAGTCGTTGTATGACTTCCTCTGAAACATCCCGTGATTTTAAGAAGTCATATATCTCATCCATCCTGTGACAATTACACACAATAACTAATGAATAATGTGTAATAAAACATAACGTTGCAAAAAATTTATTATCAACATGACAATAGGGTTGAATGATATTACTGAAAAACATTTCACGATACAAGCATTTTTTATTATTTTATATCAATATTTTTTTTATATCTGGAATACTGCCAAACTGGTGATGTGACCTTTCCCATTTTATCCACAGCTTTCACACCATAATGTTTTTTAAAAACATTTATGAGGCACAGTGGTGAAAAATTAAACTGCTGCTCCGCAAGTTACTCAACAGCTTGTTGCTAGTTCACCAGTGAGTTAAATGATGCCATCAACCTAGATGAGCTAGCCTTGAGAGGTTGAGAAGCCTTGACTGTGCCTACATCCTCCAGAATGGTATGTGGTTCTGGATCAGAGTTCAGAGAATATTCAATTGAATATTCTGTCAGACTTACTATCTATTAATATTGATCACGTGTGTATCGTGATACATATAACTGATTTATTGTCCAACCCTACAAGACAGATAGAAACTGAATTTCAGACTCAAGCTCCTGCTAAAATTAAGACAATAGACAACAAAACAGCTGTACAGATCTGCAATAATAAACCAACACACAAAGAAACTACATAAAAGTAATAAAGAAAAATCTACCAGTGTCTCCACAACTAAATGGTAAAGTGTAGAGCTTAGGTCTGAAAGTTCTGTTTACATTTTTCCCCTAAAATATTTCAATGGTTGAACAATTCTCAAAATGAAATTCCCATCTTTATAAAAGAGTCAAGTGCATGAACAGCATCAGAATGATTTCAGTTACTTAATTACTTTCATTTAAACAGATAATATGAGAAATTGGATTTTCACAAGAGTTGCAACTTACCTCTGTCTAAGTTTGGGTTCAGGTCAAAGGAACTTCCTCTGTCTCTTTTGTAGGTATCCTGAAAGTTGAGTAAAGTTGAGGAGTTAAAATTTTCTACAGGGCCTGCCTGTTTTGGGGATTTTTTAACTTCCTTGTTTTTCAATTTTTCTTATTTTGAATTGCTTTTATAAATATTGTCAATGTAAAGCTGTAGGGTCCGTGTATCATCCGTCCATTCAGTTATTCCATTCAATCTGGTAAACGAAAAATGAAAAAAACGAGTCAATATTTTGTTTATTTGTATTTCTGCATAAACCCAAAAATAAAAGATTAGTGTTTTTTTCGTATTTTCAGCTCAAAACATAATATATAATAGAGATGGAAACGAAAATGAAATAATAAATAAAAATGTCGTTTTCGGGTTATTGAGGTGTCGCTCTACTTTTCGCACATGCGCATTGCGCAACAAAGTGAGATAGCTGGATCGATTTGTGGCAGTGGGTACTTCCGGTGCTCACGATGTTTTAGCGGAAGCTAATGCTAACTACCGGCAAACGTGCCATCAGTATAGAAATGTTTTTTTCTTTATTCATTGCTTTAAATGTTGATTTTTCTGTTGTTTATTTAACTATGTCAGAAAAACAAATACACAAAATATTGACTCGTTTTTTTTCATTTTTCGTTTGCTAGACTGAATGGAATAATTGAATGGACGGATGAGACACGGGCCCTGTAGATCTCCAGCATTAGCATAAGTGTACATGAAACTGCTAAGAAAACTTTTAAAACTGATGCATATTGTACTTCCATATTTTACTCTTGTCTATGTATCGACAAAAACAATTTAACGGGAAAGATAGTGAATCACATTATGCATAACAAAACGTGCATACAACAAGCTGTGGAGCTTGTTTTAACCTACTGAAATAAAAACAATCTAATTAACGGACTACTTAAAAAAAACCTGTTAAATATGCTATAACAAGGTTAGCACGCTTTGACGGTTAACCTGCAGCTAGCTCATGTTGCTAAAACAACAAACGATATACATAACACCACACGATCAAAAAGCATTCAAAACGAAGGAATCTAAACAAAATAAAAAAATGCGAACCTACCTTTTAGTGACTCTTAACGCAGTAGCAAAGGTTGGACCTTGGATTTAGGATCATATTTAACTGGGAGCTGGAGCACGCTGTTATTCTAAGGAGGCTTGTCTCCAACTGCTCCAGTATCTCATAATTATGACTTTGAAAGTCGAAATTATGACTTTGAAAGTCGAAATTATGACTTTGAATCTCATAATTATGACTTTGAATCTCATAATTATGACTTTGAATCTCATAATTATGACTTTGAAAGTCGAAATTATGACTTTGAAAGTCGAAATTATGACTTTGAATCTCATAATTATGACTTTGAAAGTCGAAATTATGACTTTGAAAGTCATAATTATGACTTTGAAAGTCGAAATTATGACTTTCTGTTGGTGTTTTTTTTTTTTCATGGCGGAAATGGGCTTCCATA